TCAGCCATCTGTGGATCTCCAAAATGCTACCCATGGAATAAATTCAACTCTCAATCATATAAGTAACACGAAGAATTCTACAAAGATAAAAAAAACGACCCAGCATCATGAACAGTTACAAATGCTTACAATCGTTTCAGCCATTTCAACTACCACAAGACTTGTTAACCCAAAGATGAAATTACTTTAAGTCGTAACAGGACACCCTGGATCTTGTGAGCAAATTAAACCCAAGTGCTAAAACAATGTTCTGTCATAACTATTTCAATACTCATAGCTGGCTTTCATGCTAGGAAAGAATTTCAGAAAAAGAAAGACAGACCTTGTGATAATTAAAGGGAGCTTTCCTATTGCTTCAGTCTAGACTCCACGTATGACCATGGAAACGGGATGGGGAGAGGGGTTTCTTGATGATGATGCTTAATTAGGTGTCTTTAAATGTAAAACCAATACTGCCACCTAGTGGCCGTCTAAGTCACTGGCTAAACAGGTGATGTAAACTGCAAACAGGACAATACCAATTAAGCAGAAGCACACTGAAATTAGACAGATGGCGTATTAAAAAGCAGAGACATCACTTTGCCAGCAAAGGTCCATACAGTCAAAGCTATGTTTTCCAGTAGTCATGAACAGATGTGCGAGTTGGACCATAAAGAAGGCTGAGTGCCGAAGAATTGATGCTTTCTAATGGAATCTGGTGTTGGAGAAGACTCTTGAGAGTCTCTTGGACTGCAAGTAGATCAAACCAGTCAATCCTAAAGAAATCAACCCTGACTTTTCATTGGAAGGACTGATGCTGAAGCTTCAATACTTTCGCCACCTGATGTGAAGAGCTGACTCCCTGGAAAAGACCCTGATGCTGGGAAAGATTGATGGCAGGAGGAGAAGGAGGTGATAGGGTGAGATGGTTGGATGGCATCATCGACTCAATGGACATGAACGTGAGCAAACTCGGAGAGATAGTGAAGGACAGAGGAGCCTGGTTACAGTCCACGGGGTCGCAGAGAGTCAGACACAACTTGGCGACTGAACAACAACTTCAAGGTCATATGCTTAAAAGATCCCTACTTGTCCTCCACACACCAGGGTGCAAAGTAAGGGTGTCAGCCAGCTTCAACCATGCAAGTAAGGACAAGATCCATCAGCTTACAGCAAGCAAGACAGAAGGAAAGCAGAGCAGAGCTGCCTACTCCTGCCCTCCTCAAGTCGACCGTTTATGGGGAAGTGAATTCCCACCTTCCTTAGTCACTGTTGCGCTGACTGTGTGAAAGCAGTCAGTGAATGTTCCGGTTCTTTTCCATACTGTCTCTCAAAGATCCACTTAAGCGTCAGTGAGTGTTCCGGTTCTTTTCCATACTGTCTCTCAAAGATCCACTTAAGCGTGAGATCACACTTTCCAAGCATCGACTCCGGCTCATTTTATTCTACTTTTCTCCCTAAACTCTGTGGCTTCCTGGGGAGAAGTAAAATAGTTTTTATATTTAATATAAGAGGTGGTGGATCTAATCAATTTAAAAATTAAGACAAATAATTTTAATAGATAAAATAATTTACTTAAAATAATGCTTTAAAAAAGAAAAGAAACATAACGCTTAGTTTTCATTTGTTCCGTTTATTCTGAATTCAATTCAAATGCTGTATGCTGAATATTCACTATGCAAAAGGTACTATGAGAGAATTAAAAGCAGAACAAGCCAGAGCATCTGCCTTCAAAGAACCTGTGATTTCATACGAGTCTGTGTGTATGTGTGTGTGTGTGAGTCAAAACTGCAGTGTGTAGTGTGTGTGCAGTTCATGACAGCACTGTTCACAATAGCCAGGACATGGACGCAAACTAAGTATCCATCAACAGACAAATGGAGAAAGAAGATGTGGTACATACACAATGGAATACTAACTACTCAGCCATAAAGAAGAATAAAATGCCATTTGCAGCGACATGGACGGATCTAAAGATGATCATACTAAGTGAAGTAAGCCAGAGACAAATATATGTGCAAACTAAAAACAAAGATGCACACAACCATATTTACAGAACAGAAACAGACTCATAGACATAGAAGACAAACTTATGGGTACCAAACTGGAAGGGAGAAGGATAAATTAGGAGTTTGAGATTAACATATTCCTGCTACTATATGTAAAATAGATAAACAACAAAGACCTACTATGGAACACAGGGAACTATATTTAATACCTTCTAATAACCTATAATGGAAAAGAATCTGAAAAAAAATTTATATCTGGGTGTGTGTGTATAAGGTAAGGTGCATATACAAACACACACACATAAAACTGACTCACTTTGCCATACACCTGAAACACAACATTGTACATTAACTAAACTTCAATTTTAAAAAACGGTTTAAGAAAAAAGTGACCATACTGTAAGAGAAATAAAAGGTAACTTCTATTACAATAGAAAAGAAAATATGGAGAGAGTTGGATGATTAATTTCAGGGACTCACTGTAATAAATATTCACTGAGGACTCAGGTTTTGAACATGGAAAGCTCTGTGCTTGGTTCTGAGGATCAAAAACCAATAAGACAGTCTCTGCTCTCAAAATTTATAAAAGAGAGATGGAACAAAAATAGTACAAAAGTGAAAACTATACAATAAAAGCAGAACCAAGGAGGAAGCAATTTGTCCCTGTGGGTCAAGACGCTGCGCAGAACGGCAACCCCAGGAGCTTGTCAAGATGAAGGGGGTCCTGTGCAAGGTCACAGGCATAGCCAGGTAGGCCCAGGGACGCCCAGGAGTTTGCAGTTACTGGCAAAGAAAATACAAAGGGACGAGGGGTGGGAAATGAAGCTGGCACCAAAGGTGGGACTAGAGTTAACAAGCTCTGGTGGGACGTCTTGGCAAAAGGTAAGGAGCACGGGAGGTTCCCACAGTTCTGCCAGATCCACACCCTCAGCTGCCGTCACCCTGCCTCCACTCCTGGGAGACGCACACATTCTCCAACCATATATACAACGGCCACACTATGTTTAGACAGGAACCTATACCCATCCTCCCCAGAGTCACCCAGTGGTCCTGCATGTAAGCCCCAGATCCCTGAAGAAGCAGGCATTCCCAGCCCCTAGCAGCACCTTCTGCCTAAGGGGCAGGAAAGAAGAATGAACATTTTATAATCCCTATTCAGTTCAGTTGCTCAGTTGTGTCCGACTCTTTGCAACCCCATGGACTGCAGCACGCCAGGCTTCCCTATCCATCAACAACTCCCGGAGCTTGCTCAAACTCATGTCCATTGAGTTGGTGATGCCATCCAACCATCTCATCTTCTGTTATCCCCTTCTCCTCCCACCTTCAGTCTTTCCCAGCATCAGGGTCTTTTCCAATGAGTCAGTTCTCTGCATCAGGTGGCCAAAGTATTGGAGTTTCAGCTTCAGCGACAGTCCTTCCAATGAATATTCAGGACTGATTTCCTTTAAGATGGACTGGTTGGATCTCCTTGAAGTCCAAGGGACTCTCAAGAGTCTTCTCCAACACCACAGTTCAAAAGCATCAATTCTTCTGTGCTCAGCTTTCTTCATAGTCCAACTCTCATATCCATACATGACTACTAGAAAAACCATAGCACTGACAATAATAATAATAATAATCCCTATTGCTTTCCTCCAAAAGGTACCCACATACCTTTTCCCCACTGTAAACAAGGTCTGGGAATACTTCCCTGTCCCTGGTTCACTGGAAGTCACTCTGGCCCAAGTTGGGTTTCCAGACAAATAATAACGAAAGTCACTCAGTCATGTCCGACTCTTTCCGACCCCAAGGACTACAGTCCATGGGATTCTCCAGGCAAGAGTACTGGAGTGGGTAGCCTTTCCCTTCTCCAGGGGATCTTCCCAACCCAGGGATCAAACCTAGGTCTCCCACAGTGCGGGCGGATTCTTTACCAGCTGAGCCACAGGGGAAGCCCAGACAAAGGAGAACTTTAATCAAGCTACTATCTCTAATTACTGCCCCACCCCGACCAAAAAACCCACTTGTCTACAGCCTGCAATCCTTTCCTTCCCTTGAGACGTTCTGATGCTCCAAGGAGAGGAGCTAGGATCTGTCCTTGTGGGGACATGGGGAGGTTGGATGACTTTCTGACATACAACATTTAAAGGACAAACACAATAAGCCTCACTGCCAGCAGTGCCCTGACGTTGAACACCATTAAGATTGTTCACTTTTCCATTGTTATTTCCAACCCTTTACTTCCATGCTCCCACCGACAGAAAGCAAGCCACCTGCCAAACACACAGGTCTCTGAAGAACTCTTGATGGCTTTTATCTCCAGACAAGCACTTCTGTTTTGAAGGCCAAGGCCACAACCATGCAGTGTAGTGGGCTGGGAGGACCGTATCTGCTTGGCTAAGGAGGAACGCTTCTATATGGCTGCATACGTGGGTAGACCTTCCTTTGCCGCAAACCTCCCACAATATGCAGAACAGATTTCAATTCAGTTCACGCTTATTTTAAACTTTATTAAAGTACACCTGGATGTGTCAATCTTTCTCTCCATAATCCTCCTCGGATATTACATTATAAATCAAATCAGAAGTTCAGTTAATAATAACCAATCAAAAAACAGATTAAGAAACTCATAGAAGAAGCACTGCACAAAAGTTAATGAAAGTGTTATTTCAACATAAAAATTGACTTAGAACCTGTTACCAAAATTTCGAACATTAATTATCTTTGCTTAAGCTCCACCTTTAAAAAGTTATTTCTTCCACTTTTTTCTGTCATATTTTATGATGAAACCATGCTAGTCCTATACATTTTTACATGTCTGTTAAAATATGTATATAATAATTTAGAACATGATACTTAGAGCATTAGAAATTAACTAGAGCATTTTAAACAATAAATAGTCCATATTAAGCCAGCAAAACAAATCAGAAGATGTATTCTATCTAAATAGAACTGACTCTCTATGGACCAAGAGCTTTGGAAAACATAAACGTATCAAGAAATAATCAGACATCCCAAGTCATCTTTACGTACCTGTGTAAGATCTGCAGACTGCTTTAAGATGCTTCGTTTTAACTGTTCTGCTTTCTTCACATGAAAAGAATTACTTTGACTCTGGATGACAAATACAATTTCTTTTAAATCTAGAACAACAAAAAAATTTGTTCAGGTTTTTTATATTTTCTTTTAGAACAACAACTGAAATAAACTTGAAAACAAATCAAAACGAAAAGAAAAGAAAAAAAAAGTCACAAGGCATGCCTTCAGGCAATAAACTCTTAGGGGTAAAAAAAAATCAATTTATATGTAATTCTAGTGACAAAATCTCTCTTTTTAAGCTGATCTCTACAACTTCCTTCCTAGAAGTTAGCAAGTAAATACACTGGCTGTACTAGACCCAGTCTGGTAACAAACTGTGAATTTGTTTCTGCATCTGTCACAAAGTATGCAAATGTAAATGTGAGAAAGTATGAAAATGTCTAGAACACTTACCTCCCCAGTCACTGAAAACCCACTGTGTTTGCAAGAAACCTTTTAACAATTACACAGAATCCTACAGTGTGCCTCCCTCTTAGGGGTTGCACTGTGACCCCCAAGCTTCATGGGATGAAGTGTCCTCAGCCCTAGGACCTCAGAATGTGACCTTATTGGGAACTGGGTCTTTACACAGGCAATCAAGTTAATGCGGGGTCATTAGTATACGTCCTCACCCAACATCCTTGGTACCTTTATAAAAAGAGGACTGTAACCTACCAGGATCCTTGATCCGGGGGATTCTCCAGTCAAAAAGACTGGAGTGGGTTGCCATTTCCTCCTCCGGGGGACCTTCCCAACCCAGGGGGTTGAGCCCAGGTCTCCTGCATTGAGGGCAGATTCTTTACCAGCTGAGCCAGCAGGGAAGCCCCTAACCCAATACTCTTGGTGTCTTTATGAAAAGAGGCAATCTGGGCAAGAGACACAGAGGGAGGCTGCTGTGAAGACCCAGGGAGAAAACGGCCACCTCCAAGCTGAGGAGGGCAGCCTCAGAGGAAACCACCCATGCCTCTAGAACCCAGAGACGCATCTCTATGGAAGCCACAGTCTGCGCCACTTTGTCTCAGCAGCCCCGCGCAAACTGACACTCGACCGCAAGCACGTTCTGGATGGCGCTTCAAGGTGACACTCAGCAGGGACCTCAGGGGGCACCTGGCCAGGGTGAAGTTCGTCTCCGGGAAAACAGCCACGACTGCAGGACAACAGGGCTGCAGTGGGAATGAGCTGTCTGCCAAGCCTGGGTTCAGGCCTGTCGGGGTCTTGACTGAGGCTGGGAGGGAGGTAGCCCTGGTCTGTCACCCACCCCGGACCAGAGGAGGGTCTTGCCTGCAGAAGGGGAGGCACAGACCCCACATCGGGAAAGCATGTCAGGCCTGCCCAGGTTCCGAGCTCGTGATGAAGGAAAGAAACTGCAAGTGTGTTAGGACCCTGCCCCCAGACAGGGGTGTTGGCCAAAGGCAAACATCACATGAAGTTGCAGCCTCCGGCAAGGTTGACTATAAACCAGCATTTGGACCCTCCCCACACTGTGAGCTCTTCCCTTTAGCACCTCGACTCTCAGGTGGCGCTAGTGGTAAAGAACCTGCCTGCCAATGCAGGAGATGAAAGAGACACAGGTTTGGTCCCTGGGTCGGGAAGATCCCCTGGAGGATGTTTGGCAACCCACTCCAGTATTCTTGCCTGGAGAACGCCATGGACAGAGCCTGGCGAGCTACAGTCCATGGGGCTGCAAAGAGTCAGACACGAATGAGTGACTAACTCTTTTTTTTCAAGGACACTAACTTGGTTTCTATTTATTCCACTGTGTTTTACCATTCTTGTGTTGAGCTCTACAGTTCTATTCATTTATTCACTCACTCAAATATTCATACAACAAACAGCCCCACAGTGAGCCATCCAGATCCTAAAAATGATCCAACATGCTTTTTGAACAACCTGCTGAATGTAACCTAATTCTTTCTATGTAGAAGTTTATATAAATTCGAACCTTGCACATACTATCTCTATTTTAAGTCAGCATCCTGGCTCTACAAATCAGACACACAGATCATGCTCAAATAAGTGTCTTCAACTGAAATGTAACTTCCGATCCACTACATCTGAAACATTAACATAACTCACTTATCAGAATGAAACAAGGTTTCTTTCTGTTCAAGAATGGAGTCAATAAACCTCAGAGAATAATTTTTGCAAAATGTAATAAAGTTGAAGACGCACATTTGCAATGACCCAGAAACTCCACTGGTGTAAGTCATCCTTGAGAAGCCCTCATGTGTGTTAACAAGAGTGCTCACAGAAGCATCACTGTGTGAAAAGAAAAAAATCTGGAAGCAAACCAGACACTCTAGTGAGTCATACAAGATACACAAACCGGAATACTACACAGTGGTATTCACACAGCAAGAAAGATTAACTAGCTCTATATGGATCAACCCAGATGGAAGCTGTAGATGAACCTTCCAGACAGAACACTGAAAAAAGCAAGGTGGTAGGTAATGACCATATGGCATAAATCAATGGTTTTCAAAACGATAAGCGTAAATCTATATAAAATGGACATATGCTCTATATACATGCATGTAAACACATATCTAACTGATACAAAAGTAGAAAAGACTATAGGGGAGTTTCCCTAGTGGTTCAGTGGTAAAGAACCGCCTGCCAAGGCAGGAGACATGGGTTTGATCCCTGATCCAGGAAGATCCCACATGCCACAGAGCAATGAAACCTGTGTGCCACAATCACTGAGCCTGTGCTCTAGGGCCCAGGAGCCACAACTACTGAAGCCCGTGCGCCCTAGAGCCCTCCAAGACAAGAGAAGCCACCGCAACGAGAAGGCCATACACCACTAGGGAACAGCCCCCGCTCACTGCGACTAGAGAAAAGCCCACACAGCAACGAAGACCCAGCACAGCCAAAAATAAAACAAATAAAAAACTTTGGGAAAAACAAAGAAGACTACAGGAGAGTGATGAACACCAAAATCAAGATACTGGTTTAAAGGCTGCAGCCATGTTAGCAATGTTTTGTCTCTTAATCTGGGAGGTAGAGACATGGATGTGACTCTTTGTAGCTCCTGGTATGTTCAAAATAATTCACAATAAATTTTTTAAAAGAGCAGCTCTTGACAGCAAGAGGTTAACCCTGCAGGAATCACCTCCCACCACCTCTTCTACCAGATCAGCAAAGTTCCCACCGTTCGCACACATAGCAGTTCTTCCACGTGGGGAAAAGGCTTGGCGAGATGAGAGGAAGCAAATCCTCCCCCTGCCCATCTACTGGGTCCTGTGCCGTGACTTGTATTCACTCCCCCTCCTTCTGTCATGTGCTTGGATCTCACATGCTGTGCGCACTCAGCGAACACAGCCTCTCCTAGCACAAGAGTCAAGGGTACAAAAGGAGCAAGCGCGGCTCCAGCACAGGAGTCCAGCTCAGAGGACAACACGGAGCGTTGGCTGAGCCAGGCAGGGACGCTGGGGGCCTGGAGGCAGGGAGCCAGGGCAGGCAGAGCTTCTGGGAAGGATGCTCCCTGCAGCCTTCAAAACACAGCAGTGGGGCTTCCCTGGTGGTCCCAGTGATTAAGACTCCACGTTTCCACTGCAGGGGGCAAAGGTTCCAGCCCTACTCGGGGAACTAGGATCCCACAGGCCATGGGATGCAGCAAAAATGAATATATATATATATTAAAAAATAAAACTGAAATGTAGCCATTTCCTGCAGACGCAGGCACAGAAAGAAGTGGCTTATCACAGAGCCCTCAGCCCACCTCATCTCTGCAGCAGCCCTGAATGGGTGACTGGGAGTTTATCAGGCATTGCTGAGAAAAGGATGACAAGAACCGCCAGTGATGAAGTCAGAGAGGAAGGCAGCGTCAGCCAGGTCAGATCAGGAAGAACCTATGTGCCACACAAAGAGGCTGGGTCTACAGATTCAGTTCAGTAGCTCAGTCGTGTCTGACTCTTTGCAACCCCACGGACTGCAGCACGCCAGGCTTCCCTGTCCATCACCAACTCCCGGAGTTCATTCAAACTCGTCCATTGAGTCGATGATGTCATCCAACCATCTCATCCTCTGTTGGGTCTATAGATTAACAGCTTTCAAACTGGGGAAGGGCCCCGGAGCCCCCTGGGACCCCAGAGAGCAGGGCCTCCCCAGAGGACGTGACGAGGGTACCGAGTCCTGGGGACCCCAGGGAGCCTTTCGCAACTGAGGATGCAGCAGAGGTTTGCGACAGCAAGTGCAGCACAGGGAACCAGGGAAGATGCCAGTTAGAAGCGGCTGCACGGTGGGGCAAGGGATGGATGCACAGGGGGGTTACCTGTACGAGGCAAGAGAGGAAGGGGCACCCCAGTGTGCCCGGCCCTATAACCCCCATACAGTGAATGACAGAGGACCGCATTCATCCCCACCCCCATTCCAGACAAGAACCAGGGGGGTCCAGTCTGGTTCTGTGTTTGTGCCCTCCCAAAGTGGAGTCTCTGTTTTTCCTTCAGTCCTGTGGAGGGCCTAGAATCAAATTCTGCAGGCCTTCAAAGTCAGGCTCCCTGGGGATCCCCAGGCTGGGGAGCCTGATGTGGAGCCTAGAACCTTCACACGAGTGCGAGAACTTCTTTGGCATTAATGTTCTGCAGTTTGTGGGTCGCCCACCCAGTGGGTATGGGATTTGATTTTATCATGCTTGCACCCTTCTACATCTTGTTGTGGCTTCTCCTTTGTCCTTGGACATGGGGTATCTTTTTTGGATACCTCCATCAGCGTCCTCCTGCTGATGGTTGTTCAGCAGCTAGCTGTGATTTTGGTTCTCTTGCAGGAGGAAGGAAGTGCACATCCTTCTACTCCACCATCTTGAACCTAGTCCAGTTTAGTTCTTAAATTCCTACTGTTCTTTTTCTTCCCAAATGGGGTATTTTATTTTTAAACAATATTTATTCTTATTTATCTGGTCTTAGTTACAGCAGGTCTTAGTTGCAGCACTCAGGATCTTTAGTTGTGGCATGTGAACTCTGTCATTTTCATCAAGAGGCTCTTTAGTTCGTCTTCACTTTCTGCCATAAGCGAGGTGTCATCTGCATATCTGAGGTTATTGATATTTCTCCCAGCAATCTTGATTCCAGCTTGTGCTTCCTCCAGCCCAGGGTTTCTCATGATGTACTCTGCACATAAGTTAAATAAGCAGGGTGACAATACACAGCCCTGACATACTCCTTTTCCTATTTGTAACCAGTCTGTTGTTCCATGCCCAGCTCTAACTGTTGCTTCCTGACCTGCATACAGGTTTCCCAAGAGGCAGGTCAGGTGGTCTGGTATTCCCATCTCTTTGAGAATTTTCCACAATTTGTTGTGATCCACAGTCAAAGGCTTTGGCATAGTCAATAAAGCAGAAATAGATGTTTTTCTGGGATTCTCTTGCTTTTTTGATGATCCAGTGGATGTTGGCAATTTGATCTCTGGTTCCTCTGCCTTTTCTTTTCTTTTTTTTTTTTTTTTGTATTTTTATTTTTATTATTTTTATTTATTTTTTTTTCCATTTATTTTTATTAGTTGGAGGCTACTTACTTTACATCACCACTGCCTTTTCTAAAACCAGCTTGGACATTTGGAAGTTCACGGTTCATGTACTGTTGAAGCCTGGCTTGAAGAATTTTAAGCATCACTTTACTAGCGTGTGAGATGAGTACAATTGTGTGGTAGTTTGAGCATTCTTTGGGATTGCCTTTCTTAGGAATTGGTATGAAAATTGACCTTTTCCAGTCCTGTGGCCACTGCTGAGTTTTCCAAATTTGCTGGCAACAGTGGAAACAGTGGCTGACTTCATTTTTGGGGGCTCCAAAATCACTGCAGATGGTGACGGCAGCCATGAAATTAAACGACGCTTACTCCTTGGAAGGAAAGTTATGAACAACCTAGACAGCATATTAAAAAGCAGAGACATTACTTTGTCAACAAAGGTCCATCTAGTCAAGGCTATGGTTTTTCCAGTGGTCATGTATGGATGTGAGAGTTGGACTCTAAAGAAAGCTGAGCGCTGAAGAATTGATGCTTTTGAACTGTGGTGTTGGAGAAGACTCTTGAGAGTCCCTTGGACTGCAAGGAGATCCAACCAGTCCATCCTAAAGGAGATCAGTCCTGGGTGTTCATTGGAAGGACTGATGTTGAAGCTGAAACTCCAATCCTCTGGCCACCTGATGCGAAGAGCTGATTCATTTGAAAAGACCCTGATGCTGGGAAAGATTGAGGGCAGGAGGAGAAGGGGATGACAGAGGATGAGATGGTTGGATGGCATCACCGACTCGATGGACATGGGTTTGGGTGGACTCTGGGAGTCGGTGATGGACAGGGAGGCCTGGCATGCTGCGGTTCATGGGGTTGCAAAGAGTCAGACACGACTGAGCGACTGAACTGTAACTGTGAACTCTTAGTTGCGGCATGTGGGATCTAGTTCCCTGACCAACAATCGAACATGCGTGCATGCTAACTCACTTCAGTCGTGTCCGACTCTTTGCGACCCCATGGACTATAGCCCAACAGGCTCCTCCTCTGTCCGTGGAATTCTCCAGGCAAGAATACTATAGTGGGCTGCCAGGCCCTCCTCCAGGGGATCTTCCCAACCCAAGGATGGAGCCGAAGTCTCTTACGTCTCCTACACTGGCAGGAGGGTTGTTTACCACAAGCACCATCCGGGAAGCCCAGCTGAACTTCGGGCCCCCGCATTGGGAGAGCAGAGTCCTAGCCACTGGACCAGCAGGGAAGTCCATCCTGCTGTTCTTTGCATCAGCACCAAGAAAGATTTCCTGATATACATCCTAAGGTCTGTGAACTGCGTTCTTCGCATGTTGACCAAGTCCAGACCCCAGGGCTCACCTCGGAAGCCATCTTCTCTATTCATGTGGCTCAACCCCCCAACTCTTAAGCTCCCATAGCCTGGTCACTGGAGTCAAATAAGACAATTCCATCCCTTTGCTGATACTTCCTGAAACCCACTGTGATCTGCCTTTTGCAAACACTGTCACAACTCAAGAGAGATTGTCATTGTCTCTCCTCCAGGAATGAGCAATAGATGGGAGGCACACCAAGTGCCTGACAATAATGATGAGTGTGACAGGTGAGAACCGGCGATGAAGACATCAGTCACGGGTGCAGAGAGGGCCCAGGTGGTGCTGAAGTGGACAGAGGCTGCGGAGAGCTTCCAGGAAACAGAACTGGGGAGGGCTACACAGGAGGATTAACTCTTCTGTGCAGGTAAAGCAACCCAAGGCTCTTGGAGTCTCATTTCTGAGTATACACCATACCAAACATCACACTACAGGCTAATCTGTCTCGGTCAGGAAGTATCCAGAAACATGGACTTCCACACACTGGCATTTTTCTGATGAGAAATCAATGTGATGTTCTTCAGACAAAAGCTACATGACCAGCAGCCTGTGATGTGAGGCAGATGGATACACACATGTGCACACCTACACACACACACACGGGGAGCCATACAGTGATGCTGGCCAGAACAATAGTCACCGGTGAATGTACTGATTAGAGACTGAGTCAACAGAGATGAAAAGACCGCCCCAGCCTTGGAGTCGGTCACCAGGCCCTGTGGCCCACGAGACCATAACCTGGGTGCAGATTCTACTGGGTCAGCTGCTTTAGTCAACCCCAACCCCACTCCGTCCCGCCAACTCACATTAACGGTGTGGCATATAAGCCCTCTGCGTCTTTCTTCAGATGAACAGATATCAAGTATTACCACCGCTGCCATGTACAACTGTGAGGATGCAGATTCACCTGCTTGGGGAGCTTCCCAGGTACGCTGAAACTCATGCTCCAGACCAGCGCCGCTGTTCATTTAAGAACCACCTGCAGGCTCCCCTGGTGGCTCAGTGGTTAAGAATCCACCTGCCAATGCAGAGGACATGGGTTCCATCCCTGATGCAGGAAGATCCCACGTGCCGTGGTGCAACTAAGCCCATGTGCCACAACTACTGAGCCTGCGCTCTGGGCCTGGGAGCCACAGCTGCTCAGCCCACGTGCTGCAAGTGCTGAAGCCCACACACCCTGGAGCCCGTGCTCCACAGCAAGAGAGCAGCCCCCGCAGCCACAACCAGAGAAAGCCCAGGCGTGACAACGGAGACCCAGTGTGGCCTAAACTAAATAAATCAATCTGAAAGAAAAACATTTGCTACAAGAAGGCCCACCAGTTTCCACACCAAAAAAAAAAAAAAACATGGAGGGGATATATGTATACCTATGGCTGATTCATGTTGAGGCTTGACAGAAAACAAAAGTCTGTAAAGCAAGTATCCTTCAATAAAAAAGTAAATTAATTAAAAAAACAACAACCCAAACCCACCAGGGTTGGCTGCGGAGGTCAAATCTCTATTTTAAATCTCCTGAGGGGTGGCTGACCACGCAGGGTGTTGTCATGTAGGGAAGACAAGCAGTGAATCGCTGGGGCTTCTTACACATGGCTACTCTCAAGACCCCAAGCCTCCAGCCTGTACCCCTGTACACCTGGGCCCCAGCACAGTCCATCCTACCCCCGCCACCCAGCGGGGCTTCTGCCACCTCCCAGACGCCTCAGAATCCAGACCCAGGCAAGGAGGACCTTTAGGAAGGTGAGTGTCCCGTCCCCCTCGTCCAAGGTTCACCTCCCAAGTCTCCATGGCCCATCCCGGGATGACCCACGAGGACCAAGTGCACGCTCTTGGGGAAAAGACCCAACATACAGAGGTCAGCCTCGCCCTCCCGTCAACCCTAGAGCCTGTTTCCCTAAAAGGAATCCAGAAAAAAAAAAAGCACAACAAACTCATGGTCACAACCCTGACAGTGCTCACGATACATGGGGGAGAAAGATGGGTTTATAAGGCAGTGAGTGCAGACTGGGAGCTGATGGGCTGAGAGACACGTGCAGTGTCTGCAGAGAAGCCAGGAGCCACCTCTGCCTGAGGGTTTAACATTAGACATGGTCGCCAAGCTGACCCGCGGGGGACGGGCCGCCTGCAGGTCAGCAGTGGTGCCCCCGCCCCAGGCAGAGGCGACGTGACAAAGGCCACAGCTGACCCTTCCTCCCGCTAAGTGTGCGTGCGCCTCTGAGAACACTCTGTCTCCATCACCGCTGTTCCCCCATAGCGGCCCCCCAGCACGGAAGTCTGTCTTTACCAGCAGCTCAGTACATTGTGGCTGAGGGAAATAAATCCAGCTTATGAATTATTACTTCCAATATGTCCATCTGAAATGTGTTCTCCTCGGGTCTTCATGACGGTAAACACTAGGCTGAGCAAAAGATGAAGTATTTATCACATAAATAAAATCAGAAAGAAAAATTCACTTCACTGAAATATAATTTGCAAGAAATACCCCCTGGATATCAACTCTTAAGTTAAAAAAAAGAAATCGTTACTCACCTATGTCATTTTTCTTTGATATATCACTTTTCTCCAAATTCTGTATATTAAATAAAAGAGAAAAAGATCAATCTCATCATATAAAAAAAAACTTCAACACATGAAATAAACATGTATGGTACATATTAACATCCTGGGGAAAGACATGGAAAATAAGAGCTTGGAAGTGCTTCCCTAAAGAAACAGACAAAAATTAAGGAGGGAAAAGCAGCAGTAATATACTTCTGCATCAGAACAGAAGACTCCTATGGGGCTGTTCCTCTCCTACGTGATCTTGGGCAAGTCACCGAATTGAGCTGAGGCTCTTTCTTCTCATGTAAAATGGTTCACAATGTTCCTGGGAGAGATCACTTTAAAATCTGATACACGGTAAGGCATTACAAACGCATCAGGATTGTACCCATTCTGACTGTGCATTCCTTGTGAAGATGGGCTCTACCAAACACCATATTTATCATTTGGGGGGCTCAGACATGCTGCCATCAGCAATGTCACCACCGTATTCTCTCCTACCTGAGAAACAGCCCTGGGGGGAGGGGGTCAGCCTGGGGCTCACAAGATTTCCTGAGCACGGAAGGGACCTCTCAGAGCCGCAGAGCTTCAAACACAGAAACGTGGACGTGGGCGCGTGAGCACGGATGTACCTGATCCTGATCAAAGCAGCTCCTCAAAAACTCCTCCAACAAAGCGCAGAGTGTCAGCAGCTAAATCTGCCATCTTCATTGTCTCCTCTGGCAGAAGGAATCCTCCCTCTAATTGCCCCTTTCCATTTTCAACCGCCACACACTATAATTATGACAATTGGACGGTAGCAAATATCCTTCCATTTCCCTCACGACTCCAACAAGAAATGCAGTCGTGAGCCGTTATTAACAAAACATCGGCAGCTTACAAGAAGATACTGCCACCGAGACATGTCCTCTCAGGATGCAGGAGGGACTGTAACAGCAGACAGGGGAAAGGACACAGGGGAGCGGCCACCTTCAGCAGCATTTTATGAAATTTGCTTTGTCTCAGGAGTAGAAATAGCACCGAGAGGAGAAAAAACTCAAGAGTTATGTACTGATCTGCTTGCTACACCTCGGGGTCAAGTGACACTTGACCTAATGATGATAAAACACATACTTTTCAGAAGAGCCGCTAAGAAGACTGGAAGGCTCAAGCCACTTCCCTAAATGTGCTCAACCAGAGCCAGGCTAGCATCCTAGGTTGGCACGTGTGGACTCACTGACTCTCTGGCCAGGAACGTGGCCTGAGCCTGGGGACGGAGCCCTTGGCTCCCCCTTGGCCAGGCTGCCTCCTCCTTTCCAGGCCATGCCTTTGGCTGCTAGACACGGATTATAGAAAACTAGAAATTTCAGGTCCTAAAGTAGCACTGCAATGGATAAAGAAACTGTGGTCTCTTTGTACAATGGAATATTAATCAGCCTTAAAAAAGAAGGGAATTCTGCGACTTCCTTGGTGGTCCAGTGGTTAAGAATCTACCTGCCAATGCAGGGGGCATGGGTTCGATCCCTGGGTGGAAAACTAACATCCCACACGCCACACGGCAGCTAAACTTGTGTACCACAACAAAGATCCCACAGATCCCGAATGCCGCAGTTAAGGCCCAAAACAGCCAAATAAATAAATAAGTAGTTTTTTTTTTTAAAGGAAGGGAATTCTGACACATGCTACAATATGGATGAACCTTGAGGACATGATGTTAAGTGAAATAAGCCAGTCATAAAAAGACAGGGACTGTATGACACCACTATGTGAGGTACCTAGAGCTATCAAATTCAGAGATGGAAAGCAGGGTGGTGGAGGGCCAGGGGCCAGGAGGGGATGCAGAGCTGTGGTTTAATGGGGGCCAAGTTTCAGTTCTACAGGATGAAGGGAGTTCTGGAGACTGCTTGCACAACAGTATGAACATACTTAGCACTACTAAACTGTGCACTTAAAAATGGCTAAAATGGTAAATTTTATGTGTCTTTTACACATTTTCTAAAAATAGCATGGGAGATGATCCAACCCAATATTCCCCTTCTGCAGATAAAACAAAAGAGGCTCAGAAAAGGGTTAGACAGGATTTGCACATCTAACAGCCATTCTAGCCACAGGCCAGGACTGAAATCCAGGTCTCTGGCTCCTTTCTAGCCTTTATTCCTTACACCTTCCAGTAACGCATGCCCAACCCTCCCCCAGAGGCACTGTTCAGCAAACACGCATCATGAGATGGAAACATACTTTGAGAGTAAGCTAAAAGATATGCAGAGTACATCATGGGAAATGCCGGGCTGAATGAAGCAGAAGTCGGAATCAAGATCACCAGAAGAAATATCAATAACCTCAGATATGCATATGATACCACCCTGATAACAGAAAGCAAACAGGAACTAAAGAACCTCTTGATGAAGGTGAAAGAAGAGACTGAAAAAGTTGGCTTAAAACTCAACATTCAGAAAACTAAGATCATGGCATCAACTTCCATCACTTCATGGCAAACAGATGGGGAAACAATGGAAACAGTGACAGACTTTATTTTCTTGGACTTCAAAATCACTGCAGATGGTGACTGCAGCCACAAAATTAGAGGCCTGCTCCTTGGAAGAAAAGCTATGACCAACCTACACAGCATATTAAAAAGCAGAGACATTACTTTGTCAACAAAGGTTCATATAGTTAAAACTACAGTTTTTCCAGTAGTCATGTATGGATATGACAGTTGGACCATAAAGAAGGCTAAGCACCGAAGACTTGATGCTTCTGAACTGTGGTGTTGGAGAAGACTCTTGAGAGTCCCTTGGACTGCAAGGAGATCCAACTAGTGAATCCTAAAGGAAATCAGTCCTGAATATTCATTGGAAGGACTGTTGCTGAAGCTGAAGTTCCAATACTTTGGCCACCTGATGCATAGAGCTGACTCACTGGAAAAGACCCTGATGCTGGGAAAGATTGAAGGCAGGGGGAGAAGGGGATGACAGAGAACGAGATGGTTGGATGGCATCACCTACTCGATGGACATGAGTTTGAGCAAGCTCCGGGAGTTGGTGATGGACAAGGAAACCTGGCGTGCTATAGTCCATGGGGTCTCAAAGAGTCGGACATGACTGAGTGACTCAACAGCAACAGCAAAAGTATTAATAACACCTACAACAAAAGTCACCTTTACCGGAAGTTACACATAAAAAGTATCCTGAACTCAGTGATTCCAGCCAAGCTGGAACAGGAACTAGACTTTCTGACAGATGCCTTGGCAAAACTAAAGAAAATCAACTGAAATTCCACAGCTTTCTGTTATTAAGCACTGCAGCTCTGACTGCCAGATACAATAGGTACGAAATGACTGACCATTTCAAACAGCTCAATTTGTAAACTGTAAAAATAAAATATCCAAGGATTGCCTGATTTAGGTGAACTGAAATGGAACCAAAATGGTTTTCATTAATTTCTCCTTTGAGAAAGAAAATCAGAGTAAATGGACTAATTGACAGAACATTTAAAATTCTGTCTCCAGCTTCCCTTGTGAAAAGGCTTAGTGGTTTGTTTTATTATCTCTTCTGCTGCGTGTTTCTGACACCATCAGTATCCATCAAAATGTGCTCACTGTCAAAAGTTCTCTAGGTCAACAGAATTGCTACTTAGACAGGAAAGACATCTGCTACCAGGGCACCCACCCCACAGTCAGCTCCTACCCTAGCCAGAAAAACACAGATCTAAGACAAGCCTCAGTGCAGCTTTTATCTATAAAGCACAAGAGATTTGAACACTTGCAATCCATATATGTGATGCTTAGTTTATAAATCCTTCATTAAAAGAAGATTTAAAAAAAAAAAAGCCTCACAAGAATTTGCTATGAAATCTTTTAAGTAGAGAATTAAACTGGCATCTTCAGCTTGATCACAACTAACCACCCAGCCCTGTGTGGAAACTTCTTGAAAGGTTGTATGGGACCTTTCTTGCTGTCATAGCAGGTAAACATGTAAACAGGGAATGGCTCTGCTCTAAACGGCAGACACACAACACAATCTTCAAAACCGCTTTGTGAGGGCAGTCCTGTTACAGATGAGGGAACTAGGCATGGGTGTGTCCTGCCGGGGGTCAGGGTGGGAGAAGGACCGTGAACCACAGCAGTCTGGCTCCAGAGCCTGGCTCCATGCCTGTGTCCCAGAGGGTCCAGTGTCACAGGCCAGCACAGGACGGAAGGCAGGTCAAAGTCACCCTGGCAGCTTGGCGGAGGCCATACATAGGATGAGGTGGGAAGGGCAGGCTCCACGGAAAGCTGGGGTGGGCCAGAATTCAGCAGAGCCAGGGACCCGGGAGCCAGGAGAGGCACCTGGGCCAGAGGGCAGGCCCCAGGCGGGACGGCAGGGCACTGGCCGCCTCGGGATTCCTGTGAGGAGCCACCTGATGCCAGCCAGGGAATCTGACTGGCTTGGGGAAGCCCCCCAGCTCTGAGCGGGACTGGCCTGGTTCTCGGGAACCAGGGCCCTTGACTGCAGTGAGCAGTGCGTCGAGCAGGACGGAGGGCGGCCTTCTGGGCAGCAGGGACAGCTCCTGTCTGTGCTGAGAGCGATATGCCAATGACAACCCCAGTGAACAGGGTTATTGTCAAGGGCCTTAAGTCCTGTCTCGGGTTCATCTACAGAGTCTGGACGACCTTGGACAAATCGATTCTCCTCCGTCTCCCAGCCTTGGCATGGGCTACAGTAGACATTTCATCACTGCCTCTCCTCAGGGGATTAATGGCTTTTTGGCTCCGTAGCCAAGCACAGATGGGGTTAATGACACTTTTCAAGGACTTTAATACCTTTGCATGAAAAAAATGACACTAAGATACAGGACTTACCTTATCTCTACTTATGTTCATATATGTATTTAAGGCCAAAAATATATGTATTTCCTTTTTTGGAAAGATGAATAAAAACCTATATTTGAAAGTATGTGCTATAATTCCTAAATCTATTATACAAAATTTTAATTCCCTATTAATAACCCTTAAAGTCATAATGAGCTTCATTATGGCCAAACAAACACGTGACAATACACGTGACAACGTAATACAAAATTACAGCATGAAAAATTCAAGGAGTCTGAAAGTGTGGATTCTGACTTCACCTTTTAATAGTCACGTGACCCTGATCAACTCACTTCTCTAAGCGTGTATTTTCTCTGCTCTGTATGCGAGTATCTGCTTTGCTTAGCAATAACACGACCACTGAGAAAAGCAAACCGAATCAAACGTCTGAAATGCTTTATTAACCATAAAGAATCGTAAAACCATAAAGAATTATTCTCCTCATTTCCCTTGTGTGGGAACCCCATGGTATAGTTAGAACAGATCACACTCTGTTGGTAAAAGAAACATTCTATTTAAAAACGCTTTTATACTAATTGTGGGGTAAAAAAGAGAGTCAACTGAGCCTTAATTAATGCGACAAAAACAACTCATATTTTAAAAATATTCTCTTTCTCAAATGCTAAAATGATCTAATGCAACCCCCAATGGTAAAATTTAGATGCAGTTCTTGAATGCAACTAGTGATGGGAGAGGAGCAGCTCTGAGATTTGGAAAAATGCTGTTCCCTCTCCATGGGTCCCCCACATCTTCGTTTCAGGTTCTGACTGTACAAGGGGCCTGGTGGTCACCTTTGGGGTCTCTCAGCCAGCCCCCAGGATGCCCTCTCACATAACGTCACCTCAAGGGGAGGGGTACTCAGGGACTTGTGACCCCAACACAGCACACGTTTCACAGGCTGGGAAAACTAGGTCCAAGGTGAAGTCCATGGGGTCTCAAAGAGTCAGACACGACTGGGCCACTGAACAACAACCTAAGACGTGGTAAGACCAGAAAAAGTCTACAGTATCCAAGTTAAGACTTCTAAAATGCCTAGCTCCATATCCGGACACCTTTTTTCTTAAGATAAAATTTAAAACCAAGTGGATCTGCCTTAATAAAGAATTTTTTTTTTTAAGCAAGACTATCTGTGAGTTGCTACTGTGGATTCAAAAATCGATGTTGACCAACATTTCATTAATCCGTTGAAAGATGAAATCATTATAAAAGGATTTTTTTTAAAGCAAGACTATCTGTGAGTTGCTGCTGTGGATTCAAAAATCGATGTTGACCAACATTTCATTAATTCATTGAAAGATGAAATCATTATAGCTTCCATTAAAGAAAAGACAGACAAATCTCAGACCGCAAGAATAGATTTGACTTTAGAATTAGTACCTTAGACTGTTTGGCCTCTTTCTTCACATCTTCAGAAACCAAAGCCAAAGCTGGAGGGAAGGGAGAAATAAGAAACATTTGCACATTAAAATCAGCAATTAAGATCCATTCTCATATTCAACAGTTTTGCTTAAAATGGAAAAAAAAATTATACTTAAACAGAATAAATTCTGCTCGTTTTAAAAGCAGCTGCATTACTGCAAACTAGTACCGAAGGCCGCCTTTCTCCAGACCTAAGAGCATCCACTGGTGTGAAGTCAACAGGTACAGCTTCCCAGTGAAGGAAACAGTGCATCTAAAGAATGAGGATACCATTTGTATCTGTAGCTATAAATCACAGACAGAGGCATACGGAGTACAACTTCCTAGAAACCTGAATTCTGGTGCTTTCCAAAGCAAAGGGGAATTGCTGAGATTCCACCGGGAAGAAGTGCAAATTCCCACTCTCACATATCTGCCAGAGCCCAGCGGGCAGCCAGTGGAGCGAAATCTGGGGCAAGCCATCCGCCTCCGTGGATTCGGGTCAGCGCTGTGGTGCAGAGGCTGCTCCAGGCACGTGAGGAGAGTTACCAGAACCCGGCCAAAGCCCCGGGGCCAGGGGAGAGAGAGGAAGTAGAATCACTCCCCATTTAGAATGACCTCGAGTCGGAGCCCATAAATAGACAAAGATATCCCCAGAGACACATCTAGGCTCTACATTAAAGTAATAATAAGCATCTGACAGTAACACATGGAAAATAGGAAGTAAAATGATAAACCAGTCAGGAAGGTTAACCAGACAAAAACATAATACCTTAACTTTATGGTGCATTTCTCCTGAAAAGCTAAGAGGAAAGCATTTCATAGAGTCTGTTTTCTACAATTAGCATTCCCAAGAGAAAACAATGCCGTGGAACAAGAAGGTATGAGGGGCTGGCCAGGCAATTCCAGGGAAGAACAGTGCAGCGCACAGCGCATGGGGGGTGGGCAGGACAGGATTCTAGGTAACGGAGAAGACCCTGCTCGGAAGCAGGAGACAGACCACCCAGCCTGATGCCTGGAATCCTCCCACCCCAGCCCCAGACATCCACTGCCTCAAATCTAAAACATACTCACACTCGGAAGCAAATGACTAACGAGGTTTAATCACTCCCACTTCCAGGATGACATTTCAGAAGTCAGGTAAAATCCAGATGAACCTCTCTGTGGGCACTGAATCCCAGGTAGCACTGTATGAGGCTCCGGAGAGTACAGTGCCCCCTCCACCCAGACACCCCCTCCCCACCCTTCACTCTGCCTTATTCTTCTCCAGAGCACTTACCACCACTGACACAGTCTACAGCTATTTGTTTATTGCTTGTATTCTATGTTAGTTTAATGTAAGTTTCATGAAGGCAGGAATGTGGTTTTATGTACTGTTTGCCCCCTTCAACATGGGCAGCACACAGAAGAAAGTCAATAAATATTTATCGAATGAGCGAACAAATGAATGAAAGGCTTCCCGAGCCATCATTTAAGGGCTATCTCCTTACACTGACATCACCAACCCCATAGAACAAAGGAGTTTAGTGCCCCCACTTAATTCATGGTCACTAAGATTGATGCCTAATTCACTTTTTACACACACACCTCCAAGACAAATACAAAGCCCAAATCATTTACAAAGTTCTAAGAAGGGAGAACAGATTTAACATCAAACACCATTTACATTCTGCTTCTGGGTATTTACTATTTCGGTTTTGTTTTACTTATCTCTAAACTAGCAAACACATTTAAAACCCTTAAGAAGATCCCAAAAATGGAATTATTAATAAACATCTTAAGGGGAAGTTGCAACACATCAACACGCCTCAGCATCACAGAATTCTAGAAAACGAAACAGCGTGTTAACCTATGAAACTGTGGTGATCTAATACAGGACTCTTGAGTCTCACAAATCCATCTCCCCCAACCCTGTGCATGTCGTGCTAAGTTGCTTCAGTCATGTCCAGCTGTAGCCCATCAGGTTCCTCTGTCCATGGGATTTACCAGGCAAGAATACTGGAGTGGGTTGACATGACCTTCTCCATGGAATCTTCCGGAATCTCCTATGGCTCCTGCTTTGCAGGGGGATTCCTTACCATGGAGCCACCAGGGGAAGTCCTCCCCCAACCTCATCGATGCCTAATTCTGAGCATGGACAGTCAAAGCTCTCTGGATTAGACTTTCTTTTTACCAAGAAAAAATAACCTTCCCAATGTAACAAATTCAGTAACTCCTCGGCTAATAAGGAGAGTTAGTCTTAACCTCATTTTTCTGCCAAGGCCAGGTGGCCATGTAAAAAAGAGTGTGTCAACACAAAAGCCCTGGCCCTTCAGAACACAGACTGTACTGAAGAAAAAGTGTCTTCGGTATGTATTGGTCCTAAATACTACTAACACATCACCTTACATAAACAAGCAGCTAATGTTAGCTGACAGTGTTACTGTTTAAAGTAAGAATTACCTTCAGGAAAGATGCTCCCCATAAATCAAGTGAATTCCACAAATCCTCCTTGTCTTTATGGAATAAAAACACCATACTTTTATCCAGACAATGCTTAACTGAGTGAAGGGTAAACTAGATTTTAATTCTCTGCAAAAAATATACTGGCTTCCCAGGTGGCTTAGTGGTAAAGAATCCACCTGCCAATTCAGGAGATGTGGTTCAATCCCTGCGTCGTGAAGATCTCCTGGAGGAGGGCATGGCAACCCACTCCAGTATTCTTGCCTGGAGAATCTCAAGGACAGAGAAGCCTGACGGGCTACAGTCTATGGAGTCCCAAGGAACTGGAGATGACTTGGCCACTAAATGTCAACAAAAAGTTAAAATAGCCTTTAAAAACAAAGAACAAACAAAACTTATTTCTCCCCATCACTCTGCTAGGAAATTAAAAACTCCTTTTTCCCATGACAGAAATAAATTATATAATATTTAAAGCAATAACATAAGAAATGCAGTTACTTGCACACATAAGAGCAAATCAGAACATGGCAAGATAATCCCCATTAGATAAATATTAAGAAAAACACTAGTTGGTTTTATCTTCGCATTTCCATAATCTAAATAAAGCAAATCATCCAGGAACCAAATGCATTTTGAAGGCACAGGATATGCTATCTCATTAACAAATCCAAATCCAAAATAATGAATCACTGACAGAACCCCTACCAACTTCCCTGTTGGCTCAGATGGTAAAGAATCTGCCTGCAATGCAGGAGACCTGGGTTCAATCCCTAGTCTGGGAAGATCCCCTGAGAAGGGAATGGCAACCCACTCCAGTATTCTTGCCTGGGAAATGCCATGGACATAGGAATCCACGGGTCACAAAGAGTCGGACACAACTCAGCGACTTACACCTTACCAACAAAATTCCAGCTTTTGCAGTTTGTGGAAATGAAGGAGAAACGGTGCTGACAGAGGAGGAAAGTGAGGAAAATTAGCAAGTGAGGTAAGAAATCTTCTGTCCCCTTCGACAACGCTAACAAGAATACAGAGTGGGACTGTCCCACAGCAGGAGGGAGGCGGAGACCCCATCAAGGAGGGGTGGCTGCCAGGGGCTGTGTTTGCTGTTTGGCTTCACACTAATTTCCTGATTCAGTGGGGGGAAAGAAATATTCTTGAAAGCTTGGCCTTAATGCACACTTGGAGAAATATTCTAAAAGGTAAATCATGCTCTTCTATGCCAAGCGGCTGTTTAAAAAGTAATTTTCCCTTTCCTATCTTCAACATGCATTCCTGTAACTGCTACAGGGAACTATATTTAAAGTGCAAATCAGGGCAGGCAATAGAAATAAGACCTTTCTCATGATAACTTTAGATAATTCAAGCCAACGAATGTGTGTGAGCACACCTACCCCGAGAGATACATCAAATTTTACAGCAATCCCAGGCCTGAGATTTATAGGCTAGCCTCGGCCCTAGAGTATAAGAAATGCGAGAGGAATTAATTGCGATGCATTTAAGCAACACTAATCAACTGTCTTCCGATCCATCCCCCCAGGGGAGGGAGGCAGCAGGACCGGCCCAGGCAAGAAAAGACCCCTGAGCCTCCCAAAGCAACTCTGCTCTGTTCCTGTGGCCAACTCACCCTCCCAAACTCTCCCCGTAACCTTTACCACAGAAACCAAATTAAGTACCAAACACGGAAAGCAGTAAGACGCTAAGTGGCCCCCTCAGAGGAGAGCTGCCAGGATGCAGTGGGATGGGCAGAAAGGGTTTAGCAAGGGTTCCGCAGGACTAAAGGCTCAGGAGGTGTCTGTGGAGGAAATTAACGAGCACCATGGGGCCAGGTGGTCCCGGGGTCCCCACCCCAGGGGTCTGGGACAGAGCCCACCCCTGGGAGCCTTGGCTGGCGCCCCCAGGCTCAGGGCTCCCCCTGGCCCATTCTGCTGTGACCTACTTCACATAACAGGTTCCAGTGGCCAACCCCGCCCCGGGCAGCCCCAGCTCCCTAGGGCTTCCAGGTTTAATTCCAGCTCCTCCGAAGGGGCCTGGACTCCGGGATGCAAGGCCTGCAGCCAATTTAACTGGTTCCACGACCTGCTTTGAAGATAATCCCTGGCAGGAGAGGAAACAGAAACAAAGGCAGCTGCCCAAGCACCTGCATTCCTCACGCCCTCTGACAAAGCCACCGTCTCCAGGGCTGTGGACGTGGGGGGAGCGGGGGTGCCCCGCAGGGAGCATCCGTGCCTCTGCGGGGCTGAGGACAGAAGGGCAGAACCGAGGCAGCTGAAGAGCCCAGGGGTGAGCCCACGCAGCACACCACACGGGCTCAGAATGGGGCCTGCCTGGCACGAGCTGCGGGCTCTGGGTGTGAGCAGCCACTGTCAGTATCTTTATTAATGCATGCTTTCGCGTGTTCAACAGAAGATCAAAGAGGGGCTGCCCGAGTTAAGCACCACGCTTTATGCTAGGAGCTGGGTGAGGATGACAAAGCAGGTGATGGTCTAACCGAACGGACAAGTCCTGTGTCAACAACCAAAGGCAGACGGGGGCCCTCTGACGGCACCGCTGCCCAGGGAGCCCCGGAGAAGGAGAGAGGGCAGAGACCAGCAGGGCAGCAAGTTCAATGCCAGGCC